CATTCAGCGTGACTTGGATAGGCTGGAGAGCTGGCCAGAGGAGAACCTAATGAGGTTCAACAAGGGCAAGTGTAGGGTCCTGCACCTGGGAAGGAAGAACCCCCATGCACCAATAAAGGTTAGGGGTGGACCTGCTGGAAAGCAGTTCTGAGGAGAAGGATCTGGGAGTCCCAGTAAGTAAGTCCACAAGCCAGCAGTGTGCCCTTATTGCCAAGAAGGCCAGCGGAATCCTCAGTTGCATAAGGAAGACTGTGGCCAGTAGGTCAAGGGAGGTCATTCTCCCCCTCTACTCTGACCTGGTGAGGCCACATCTGGAATACTGTGTCCCGTTCTGGGCTCCCCAGTTCAAGAGAGACAGGGAGCTACTAGAGAGAGTCCAGCAGAGGGCAACAAAGATGACTGGGGGATTGAAGCGTCTCCTTTATGGGGAAAGACTGAGAGAGCTGGGACTATTTAGCCTGGAGAGGAGAAGGCTGAGGGGAGACCTTATTAATGCCTACAAGTATCTAAAGGGTGGGTGCAAGGAGGATGGAGCCAGAGTCTTTTCAGTAGTTCCCAGTGACAGGACGAGGGGCAACAGGCACAAGCTGGAACACAGGAAGTTCCATTTAGATATGAGAAGGAACTTCCTTACTATGAGGGTGACAAAACACTGGAACAGGCTGCCCAGGGAGGTTGTGGAGTCTTCCTCTCTGGAGATATTCAGATCCCACCTGGATGCAGCCCTGAGTGCTCCAGGGGATTCTGCTTTAGTGGGGGAATTGGACTGGATGATCTCTGGAGGTCCCTTCCAATTCTGACCATTCTATGATTCTGTGAAAGGGATCTCTCTGTTGGGACTGGTCGCATTTAACGTGTTTGTCAGTGACCTGGAGAAGAACATTAGCCAGTAGTGTGTCCTAACAGCAAGGAAGACACAATACTGGGCTCTGAGCAGGAGCACAGCCAGGAGATTGAGGGAAGTGATTGTTCCCCTTAATACTCATTAGACCACACCTAGAATACAGCACCCAGCTTTGGCTCTCCAGTATGGGAAGGACATGAATAAACAATAATGGGTTCAGTAGAGCATCACCAGGATGGACAAGAGCTGGAGCATGTGCCCTGTGAAGAGAAACTGAGGAAACTGGGCTTTTTCAGCCTGGAGAAGAGACAGCTTCAAGCTGCTTCTTTAATAGCAGGTTTGGAGTATCTACAAGAAGGTCATAAAAAAGCTGGGGCTAAGCTTTTCACAGGGCTGCATGGCAAGAGGATGAGAGTCAACAGGCATAAACTGAAACAAGAGTGACTGATGGTAGGGAAGACCTTTTTCTCTACAGGGCAGTCAAACACTGCAATAGGTTCCCCAAAGAGGCTGGGCCATTTCTACCACTGGAAGTTTTTAAGATCAGGCTGGATAAAACCCTGAACAACCTGGTCTAACCTTGCAGCTGATGCTGCTTTGATCATGACGTTGGATAAACTCCTCCTGAGATCCCTTCTATTCTGAATTACACTATGACTGTGCAATCCTAATATAGTATCACAATTTTGTGCTATTTTAAAGCTGGGATAGTAATAGCAAAATTTTCTTAATTGTTCTGAATATTTAAATGATTTGGCTGTGCATTGCTCCTGCTTTTGGAACCCAGAGATGCTACATATGCTCTGTACCTTTTCCAAACAGCTTGTATTTGTGCTTATTTGCTGGTATGACGTGCTAACTGTGCAGAAAATTTTGGACTCTTGCCTTAGAATATAGATACCTGCCAACAGAAAATGAAGGCTACATAGTGCTGCAAATGCTTTCTCTGTTATGGAAAGTGCCTCTTATGTGCCAGAAAGGAGCATTTATACCACATGCTTTTTTACAGCTTCTCACATCTGTTAACATTTACATTTGTCAGAAAACAATACCTGAACAGTAAAGGGAAGGGATATATGAAGTTCAAGGGCAATGCATCAAGAACATGTTATATTGCAGTGGTGCATTCAAATAAAAAGAAAAGATTTATTGGACTTGTCCAATATATCTAATATGTGGGTATAGTCTGTGTATACTATCTATAAATACATTTCCATACCTAAATTGGATGACCCATATTGTCAGTAAATGGAACTGAACCCATGAAAGGGTCAAGGAGTGGCAGTCAGGAAAGAAAAGAATTACAACTTTCTTGGTACATAAAAAATAATAATAAAATTACATTGCATTTAAGGCAGGATTTATATGAAAGTCCTCAAAGTTAGATTTCTAAATATGGAATTACCTACTTATATTGAAATATTTTGTATTTTCAATAATCTTCTCTTCAGCTGCCTTTTTGTTAGCACAAAAGGAGTAGGCTGACTGACAAGTGTTGCTGGATATCCTCAGGCTGCAGAGGCAGCTACTGTATCAGACTGTGTTTCCAAGAATATTTCTTTGAAGTTGTACTGTGAAAATCCTGAGGCACAGGGTAGCACAGAATTTGGTGTGATGTGGCAGTTCTTACAGCTGTTACCACTGGCAAGTGATTCAGAACAATGAGTTAGGGAGAAATTGATCCTTGGTCTCCTGAGCTCTGACGGAAAAAACCCAGTATTTAATACCCTTAGAAAAATTGCTGATTGCAGTGATTCTGTTTGTTCCACTAATGGTGTAGACATCTATTTAAGTACTTCTAATTAGTGTCACATAAGCTGTTCTTTGATACCTAACTCTGATTTTCCAAAATGCACCTGCAGTAGAGAGCGTTGCTTAGTATTGAGCTCTGCATGGGCAGTGAAAAAAAAACAATACATCTATTTTCCTAAGTTTTTGGAGCCTAGGAAGCAGTGTTGGCTAAAAGAAATAAGTAACCTTGACTTGAGTCCTACCTAGCATGTAGTCATAATAAAGGCAAAGGTCTGTTTTTGCTTTTTGCTGTAGTTCTACTAGATAGTGTATCTCCAAAGCATTAGCGAGCAGAAATTCTGCTCTTACAAACTGATAACAAGTCTTACGCTGAAATTATTATAAAAGTTTGAGTTCCACACTCAATATGCTGAAAAAGCCTTCCACTATGTCTGTGAAGTTTCCTTGCCCTCAAATCTGAAACTGACAGCCTTACCAAAACCACCATATGAACAGTATGTGCATACATATTTTTGGGTTTGAGTCAGGCGTATTAAGGATCTATACCAGTTTTCCTCTGTAAGTTATACAAGGAAGTTTTGAGGCACCCAGAGGAATGCTTTACAGTTGAAGCTGATGAGAAATCAGCTGGTGGAAAATATCAAGGAAGAAAGGTCTGTCTTGGTGCAGCAATATTTCTGACGAAGAAAAAGAAGTTAAGCATCTGATAAGACTTGCATTCTGGCCTTGGTGCTGTGCAGAGAAGCTTCATCACCACACAGTGATGTGCTGCTTGGTCTTGCTGCTTGCTGTACCCTGGCCCAACATTTGCAAGCAAATAATGTATAAGAATATAAAGCATTATAATATATATTTTTTTTTCTCATGTAATTTTAATTCTGGCATATCCCTTTAGGAGTGCTCACTCTTCAAGAGTTCTTATCTATCTGTTGGTACATGGACACCTGGTTACATTAATAAAAATTATAGCAACAATTGCAAGAAAAAATGCAATTTATGCTTAATTCACATAATACTCTTTTTGACGTAATTCAGACCCATCACAGGCACCCTTACAAGTTGCATGTAGGGGTCAAAGGGTGAAAGGTGACTGGCAAGATGCTTGTTTTGTACATTTGGCTAACACAAATACTTCCTCAAGTATAAAATGCTTTGATCTCTATAAGCAAATGCCATATGTGTGCAGCTGTGGCCCATGCCTCACGATTGCTGGAAGGTTAGAAAAAGGTAGCATATGAATTTGATGTCTGCATTCAATTTCTGCTTTTATATTTAGCAGTTCATAATTTTGTGTAATATTTTAGCTGTATGAAAAACATGCATTGGAGTTGAGTGATAACAGATTTCTCTGTGGTTTGACTCAACATTGTTTGGGTGAACACAGAATCCTAAGTATTGCAGACTGAAAATAGAGGTTTTAATTAGAGCTGTCTGAGCTTCAAAATACCTGAACGCCCATTAAGCTTGGCAGGTTTTCAGAAACCTGAGGATTGCATGGAGCTGATTTAAGCTAAGCAAGAGTCTTCTGTTTTCCAGTGTATATTACATTTGCAGTTGCATCACTGACTTGCAACACACTGAGGAAGTGAGATCCAAAACCATTGTAAATGGTTTTCTGATATGTGAAAATGTTTTATTATGAAGGCCTGTCTTATGTCATACTTGTGTTGAATAATACCTTACTCCAAGGGAATTTCCATTGAGAAGTGGAACGACTTCCAGAGTAAAGGGGCTGCTCCACATCACTGAAAAACTGAATCAGATCCAAAAGTTTGGTGCCTTTTTTGAGCTTTCATTTTTCACTTCACATGCAAATGTTTAAGAATAATATGTCTGGATCTGTATTCCTCAAGCAGCTGAATGTAAGTGGTTTGTAGTGACAATAAAGAAACCTGGTGACCTGGTGCAGTCAATGGCACACAAGGGTCCCCTTCAGAGGGATCCAGTTTCATGCTGAAGGAAAAAAAAAATATATAAAAAAATATATATGGCTTTGTTTATTAAAAATCTTGAGCATGTACAAATTTATGTAAAACATACTAGTGTAACTAGGGGGTAAATCAGCATGTTGGTGAAAACATGAGCAGTATTTACTCATAAGAAAAAATCCAAGTCACAACCAATAGACAGGCATGATACAAGAATCAGAAAATCAGGCACAAAAATATCAGATTACAGGTACAAATATGATAAAATATAAAGTGTTGTGCTCTCTGTGTGTGTTAATACATAGAGGTATATATACAGATATAGTATATATCGGTGTTGTTAATATGATGTTTAGTGATTTATTATGTGTGTGAGTACATTCATGTGGTTGTCCTAGATCTTACTTGAATATTATTGAAATAACGGCATAGTTATTAGTTTTTCTTATGTTGTTTCTTGTTTGTGTTCTTGCTAGCTCCTACTGACAATGGTAGGCTCTACAGATGAAGCTCTGCAGGAGGCGGCAGCTGGTTGCATAGCAAACATTCGCAGATTGGCTCTAGCAACAGAAAAAGCCAAGTATGGCTGATGCTTCAGCAGCTTTTACCAACACACTTGTTCTGCAATACAGCTACATTTAAATACATGATGACTCCTTCTAACATCCGTATTTCAAAGCAGAGCTCATGTGCATGAGGATACAGTAACGACGCAAATAAATCTGTGGAAAATTATGGTTGTTTTTACATTACTCATTTGTCACGCCTAGGTTTTATAAAACAGTCGTACTTAGTTCTGTGTGTCTTTTAACATTACATCTTTCAATAGACTATCAGTTAAGACGTGAAAGATATTTTCTACAATTAATACACTTGTATTTGTTAGTCATTGTAGATAGCAATGCCTTTGCGTATCTGTGACGTTACAGTAGATTTTCCTTCACTTCATGTGTGGTTGGGCAGTGATTTATGAATGTCTTGAACAATTCCCTGAGTGCTAAACTTGCCCAATCATCTTGTCATTATGTTTTTGCCTGTTTGATCACTTGCAATTCACAGGAGAGGACAAAATACAGATACATCAGTCTCACATCTGGAGTGATATAAGCACTGCAAACAGCTGTAGCAGTAGACATCACTCCAAATTTCCTGTTTCTACCAACATCAAACAAAATAGTGCTTGATTTTATAAGTAGCTGGTGAAATGTGTTTTAATTAACACTTGTTTAACTAAAATTTAAATTTACCAGCTGTAAATAAAAAATGGAGAATTAGACTTACATCTACACATTGTCTTACTGGGGTTTTTTTGCATTTTTAAACTGAGAACAGCACTGTATTAAGGTAGTTACTTTATTTTTCTGCATAAATTTATATTCAGAATTAGAGTTGCTTTCAATAACCACAGAAACAGTGATTGATATGATAGATTACAGGCCCACTGTGCATGCCATGCTTAAGGAATAACATGAAGGCATTTCCTTGAGAGCTGTAATGTCTTAATTACAGGCATAGACTGCTGACAAAACTGGAAAAACCTGAATGTTTAAATAACTTGTGTTTGTCAAGTACTCACTTCTGAATTATTTTTTTGCTTCCCTTATAATTAACAATTTTATTGTTTTGGAAGTAGTTTGTGATTTCATTATTTTCCTTCTAACTAGCATGGCTGCTCAAGGCAACTACTTATACTGCTCACAGAAGCTTCTAGGGAAAATATAATGGAAATGGAACATTGTACTTTCTCTGAAGCAGACACAAAGGCTCACTTTAGATTTCATTTTAGAATGGTGCAATTCTGAAAGAGGAGGATTGCATTAGTCCCTTAGGGAAGGTGTAGAGAATATTTTAATGGAAAAAAATACTACGTACCAGTGCTGACTTTGTGGAGATCAAAACATTAATCCAAGTAGGTTTTTTTGATCAATGCAAACAGCAGCACAGTCATGGGGTTTTCCCAATTCCATCAGCAACCGGTGACGAAGCAAATACTATTTTAGGCATTTTCTAGCTCTGCCCCATAGGCCTGCTATGTTATTTTGAATAAATATATCCATATTGTTATATTGATGTCACAGCTGTAGTAGTATCATGTGCTTCATCACTATACCCAAAAATACGTCTAAAATAAATAGTAACTGCCAAATTCATTTGGAAAAGAAGAGACTTGATTTTATTTTTGTCTTTTCTGTGTGATAAGCTGTAGACATATTTTATCACAGTTTTGCTTCTGAAAAATACATAAACTGATGGCTTATTTTTCTAACTGTTGAGGGGAAAAATACTCCCTGACAATAACTGTTGTCCTCAACATGACCTCTCAAGGCACTCTTGACTGTTTAGTGTAGATTTCAAATGGAGTAAGTTCTTAAGTAAACTTAATTTTATGATACAGGTGCCAGGGCAGTAAATGTCATGATCCTGACAGAGATGGCCTCAGCCTGCCACTCTTACACTGGTAGCCCTTATGCCTCTGAGCAGTTGATCTGAAGTCTTTAAGGCCTCAGACAGTTAATCCCAGACTTACAGTGACTTACTTATGCTGTTTTCTTTTCCTCTGCCACGCCTGCAGTTCTTAAGTTCGGTACAAGGTGAAAAAATGCTGCAATCAACACAGATCATCACACAGGCAAAGGATCAGTATTTTAAAAATACATCCTTTTTTTGGCCAAAACTGCTTGATTCCATGTAATTAATACAAATAGATTTAGTTGTTGGAGAACGAAAAAATGAATGTGATCCCCAGCCTCTCTGAACAGCGCAGTACAGGGTGTACATTTGAAAAGCCTCCACTTTCTCCACAAGGCTGTGTTGAGTTTCACAGCACTGCAGCCCTCTGAAAAGGGATCCTCACAAAGCTGGGTGCCCCTTGCTGCTCACTCCCCTCCTGGCAGCACCCGCCAACCTATTCAAGCCCTGGCACCAACTCGAGCAGCCGCAGCAGCCCAGACCTGGCGTTGCCACCGTGTGTAGCCAAGCACCAGGCAGGTCCAGCTCCCTGCCTGGAAGAGAAATGCCTTCACTCCTTTCTCTTTCCATCAGCTACTACTTGTCCACAGAAATCTGTAGCCTCTTAGGAAATAAGGTTATACTTAACACTGGAGATCTGTATTATATCCAGCACAGTGCAATTTGATGTAAAGATTCAATATAGGCTCTTATATAATTCACAAAAATGAAGTGACTTAAAAAGGAGGATCAGCCTCTGCCCTGTTCATTTGCCAATGCCTGCTCAGTCTACTCCCTCCTTGCTCTCTTTGTGTGATTCCTGTATTTTCACAGTCTTGTAATAGTCTTTTAAATGTGTATTTACATTGATGTTGCCATCAGCAGGGAGCATCCATCACTTTTTAGAATTTTGGGAGCCAGCTCCCAGCTCTGTGTGGAGCATCATGCTCCAACTTACAGCCATAAAGCCTGCTCTTCACCTGCTGCTGGTTTTCAGCTTCATTCTTCATTTTCATTAAAATGTCAGAAAACGTTGAAGCTGAGTAAGAAAAGTTTTGAGTATAGAAATACTATAGTTGATGTGAAAAAAAAAGCAAGAGAAGAAATCTTTCACCTTTATGTAATTATTTCTGGAACCCTGAAGGCCCACCACTTCTTTCAGTCTACACGTCTGTCAGCAGCAAGATAGCTTTTCTTCTACCACTCCATGACTTCATGATTTATTGCTTGGTGACAGATAACCATTATCAATAATTTAATTGTCCCAGGATGTTCAAACTGCACATTTGAATCTGGGATTTATGTTCATTTCCTCTTAATGTTCATGCTAATGACAAGTGCATGTGTTCTGACACACAATATTGTCTCCAAGTTGTTAGGGAAATATAAACTTCACGGCCTGGGTGTAATGGATCTGTGATATATTAGGGGCTTTGTTATTCTGCTCTGTCACTGAAACTTTTCTTTGGCGAGTAAATGAGTTGGGGATTCACAGGGCTGTCTTGAGAACTGGCTCATTAATTTGCTTTAGGCTAAGTGACGGCTTTGTGTGAAAGCACAGCACCTCTTCCATTCCTGGTCTCCTAAAATGAATCAAATGAGCTGCTGATGTCAGGGATCAGATGTGAATTGTCCCAGGAGATCTGACTAGATAATATGTTTGTTTAAGAATTTCATCTCATAATAAATTAGATGGTTGCTCCTTGCACATTTCCACCAAAATATCTTTCTTTTACATGACAGCAGGATGACTGTGATGGAAACATGTACATTGTTTCTTCAGCAGTGTATTCAAGTTTCCGTGCGGGTGGTTTGCAGAGCTTATTTCCAGAGTCAGAAGCTAACTGCTGCCCCACTGTAAATTGTGGTTTGTCTCTTCTTTAGCCACTTAAGCTTTGCCACACGCTTTTCTGGTTCCAGAACAACAGAAGGAAGCAATGCTGCATCGTGGCCACTTCTCAGTTCAGACAACCTAATCTGCTGCTGCTGGGTGACCTGGCACATGCCAGGGTCAGCAATTGCCATGGGAAGTTACATTGCACTGCTTCTGAAAGAGTTAGTTTTATAAATTATTGTTCCCGGCCCCTGCTTGAACAGAGATGTTCCTCAATGTTCAATATTTTGCTGCTTCAGCTATTGAAGGCAGCCAAAAGTAATTGTTTTTCATGAATCTTTTCCTTTGCTACAGTTTTACACTGTAATGTGTGCTTTTCATCCTTTTGCCTAGTTATGACCTCATTAATATTACTTGCTGGGAAGGATTTCTATGGACAGCATCTCCATGGCTTGTGTTTATCCTCTTGACTCATTTCTGTGCTATCAGCCAGACACCTTTCAGTTGGCAAGTTCCTCTTTCTTTTCCAGTTGATGTCATTGGCAAGTTATGTGTTTTATCCTCAGCTACATGGAGCGTGGTACCCTCAGCTGCTTGATCTTTCTTTTGCAACTCTAATCAAGTCCACTTCGAACACAAATGTTTTCTTCCTGAAAAGTTCATAAACCCACACAAGGAATCTGTGACTTTGGATACCAAATTATATTATATGGCCTAATCCTATCATCTTTGCATTGCTCCAGTGGCACAAAACTATCTTCACTGATTTCTTGTGATTTCTTCCATCATTTGGGAATCCTGATGTGGTGACAAGATAGTGGCTGACCAGTCAAAACCTTTGCTTGTTGGTAAGTTGTGTGAATTGGATAAAGGCCAGAAGAATGACATTATACTAATGCTGAACCATGAAACAAAGGGTCATAAACCATCACTGTTTAGTCAACTACTCATTGCGCCAGGATCCTGGAGTGCCTTTAAAGTTTCTCTACTCTCCATTAGGTGAGAATCAGCCTGGAAGCACTGGGAAGAGGAGAAGGGGGCAGGCAAAATTGTTCATTAAAATCTTGGAGCTCAGGTTTTGTCATGCTGTGGCACACCTCACTTCTCCAAGGAGTTTGGTGAATGCAGGAGAGCAGCACAGAGCACCTCTGAATTAGTGGGTGCCTCTGGCTTCAGAATTTTGCTCCAATGGCCAAGCTTTGAACTGCACTTTCTAATACCCAGATTAGCTAACTAGGGATTTGTGTACTGCTTCTTAAAAAAGAAAAAGGCTTTCATAGAAATGGTAATTAAAAAGTTACAGATGCT